GGGGGGGGCCCATAACGATCGTTCTGGCCGCGGAGGTAAAAATTCGATCTACGCATACGAGGTCGGAGGGAAGAGGACTGGCTATGGGTATGGGTGCGGGTTGTCAGACCCCTGGGGAAGGCTCCCGTTCGAGCGGGGACGCCCTCCCGACGATACCCGCCCCTAGCCCCGTCCGTCCGTCCCCCCTAGGGGTATGGGTGTGTGTCTGTTTGTGTGTGTGTGTGTCGTTGTCGGTGTCGGTGTCGGTGTCGGTGTCGGTGTCGGTGTCGGTGTCGGTCTCTGTGTGTGTGTGTTTGTTTGTGTGTGTTGCTTGTTCGCCACGCACGGCGGTCGGAGCAGTCGCGGCTGCTCTCCCTTCTCCTCCCCGCAGCACAACGAAACGACAGGCGTGCTCGCGTGATGGATCCAGGTCTCGCCCAGCCGCGCGTGCGGATTGCCTCTGCCGCGCTGCGACGTAAAACGTGCTCGCGCCATGGAAGAATCACGACGGACGGGGTTGGGCCGTTTTCGGCCTCCGGAGGCCCTCGCCGGGCTTCGGGGCCGTCGAGAGACGTACGTCTCAGGATGAAAAACCAGTCCCGGGGAGCGAGTCGAGACCTCTGGGGCCCCACGCTATGAACAAATCATGACGTCGGGGGCCTGAGGAGGGGACGCTGCCGTGGCATCGCTCGGACGTGTGCAATTTTTGTTCGGCGATCTCAGCTCAAGAAAATTTGGACCATCTTGGAGCATCCTGGGCCAGCTGGAGAAGCAGAGCACGCGCAACACAAAAATATGCACGGCACATGGACGTCCGAGCGATGGCAGGTTGCATGGGGCGTTCCGGACAAGCCTTCGCCTTCGAGGGCCGCAGGAGTTGGCGCCTCTTCCTCTGCAGAAGGTGGCCCCAGACCCCCGACGTCGTGATTCGTTCATAACGTCGACCCTTGGAGGTCTCGACGCCTTCCCGGGGACCGGTTTTCATCCCGAGTCGTTTTTTGACGGTCCCGAGGCCCGGGCAGGGACTTTGGAGGCCGAACGTGGCAAAAAACTTCCTGTCGTGATTTTTCCTATTACCCGAAAGGGTCTGGGGCGGAAGGCCCGCGGAAGCCAGCGGAAGTCGGCAAGTGAACAAGGCACATTGCATGGGGCGCGCTCCAGAACGAGCCCTCGCTTTCGAGGGCTGAAGGCGTTGGCTCGTCTGCCTGGGCGGCAGGCTGCTGAAGGCGGCGGAGGTATGCAGAAGATGCGCCCCAAAGAGATGGCAACGTTTTTGGGCGCAGGGCTCCCAGACATCCGACGTCGGGGGCCTGGGATGCCAGAACCACCCCAGGGTTGGTGGACACGCTTCCGCGACCTGGCCAGAAAGGCGTGCCCCGGACGGGGCTGGGACGAGGATGCATCCGTGCAGAGCGTGCCGGAACGCTTTCGAAGCGTGGCAGCACGCGCTGAGACGGCCGCGGTGCCCGAGACATCCTCCAGATCCGCCGGCTCTCAGAGGACCTTCGCACACCCCTTGGACTTTTGAGCATCGGAGGCTGCGGGGTGAGATCGCAGTGGAACGGAGAGAGCCTCGTGCTCATGCTCGTGCTGTTCGTGCGGGCGAGGCGAAGCTGCGTGGGCGCGCAAGAGGAATGCTGCCGCCGTGGCTACGGGCTGTGGGGCTGGTTGTCCGCCCTTCCCCCCTCCGGCGCGCGGTGGCCGGGGGTGTCCCGTCGGTGGCGCGTGGGTGTCCCGTCGGTGGCGCGGGGTGCCCCGTCGGTGGCGCGGGAAGTCCCGACGGTGGCTCCGGGTGTCCCGCCGTGGTGTCTCGACGGTAGCTCGTGAGATCAGATGAAAGAGCGATGTTGGAATGGATGGTGAGATCGATTGCGTGATCGATCGTGGTCTTGAGATCGATCCCAGGTTGCCCCGTCGGTGGCGCGGGCTTGCCCCGCCGGCGGCGCGGGGTGCCCCGTCGGTGGGGCCGGGTGTCCCCTACGGTGGCTCCGGCTGTTCCGCCGTGGTGTCTCGATCGTAGCTCGTGAGATCCGTTGTGAGATCGATCGCGAGATCGAGAGATCGATAGTGAGATGGATGGTGAGATCGATCACACCAGATCTTTGGTTGGGGTTGCCCTGCCGTGGCTTGTGGCGTTCCATCGTGGTGTTTAGATGGTGGCTCGTGAGATGTCTTGTGAGATCGATCGTGAGATCGATAGTGAGATCCATAGTGCGATCGATATCGAGAGCGATTGTGAGATAGATGATGAGATCGATTGTGATATTCGCGAGGTCGATGACGCCATCTCATCGCCATCACAGTCATTGCAGTTGTTGTCAGTGGATGTCCCCTTCCCCCCCAAAACCTCTGGGTCACCCGTAGGGTGGTCGTATAGGCAGTCCAAAACTGATCGGGTGGACTATTGTATCCTTACCCGATAGAAACCCTCGTCCGGGCTTCGTCTTAGTTTTCCCACCGGTCCCGGCCCCCTGGTGTTAAGTCGGGCCTGTCCCCCTACAGGGGGATTTTCGACGAAAAATCAAGAATACTCAAAAATAGTCGACGAAAAATCAAGAATACTCAAAAATAGTATATAACAAGAAAAAAAATCGTGGTGCTGGTCGGCCACGAGCGGCGCGCGAGGGTGGACCTGTGGCGCCCTCCCGAGGCCGAGGAGAAGCCGGACGAGCAGGACGGGCCAGCCGAGCCCGCCGCAGGCGCGCCGAAGGCGAGGGCCCCCTCCGCTTGCACGGGGGCGGCGGGGGCCCAGAGGGCCGGCGCTCCCGGGAAGATTGGAGCGGGCGGCTCTTGGCCGATCTCGGCCTCCGGGGGCCCTCGCCGGGCCTCGCGAGAGGGCCAGAGAACTGCTCGGCACGAGAAGCTGGCCCTTGGGAAGCGGTCCGGACCTCCGGGGCCCACGCACCGACAAAAATCGGAGCAGCCGGATGTCTGGGGGGTCACTCTGGCCGAGTTCGATCCTCTTCGGGGGGGACGATGGCCTGGCATTCTGGAGGGGAGGCTTTTTGGGGGGGACAGGCTCGGGGCCCCTGAAGGGCCAGGAACTTTCCTGCCTTCCCCGCCCCACCTCGCCGAGCGCCGCCGGCGCCGTGCATTCCTGCGCGCAGGCGTCGCAGTCGTGCTCGGTCGTGCTCTTTTGCATCGTAGGGCATCGGCGTGCGCAGTGCATGCGGAGGAGGAGGGGGAGGAGGGGGGGGAGTAGGAGGAGGCGGAGGAAGAGGAGGGGAGGAGGAGGGGAGGAGGAGGAGGAGGAGGAGGAGGGCGGAGGAGGAGGAAGAGGAGGGATGAGGAGGATGTAAGAGGAGGAGAGTGGAGGAGGGGAGAAGGGGGAGGAGGAGGGGCAGAGGAGGTGGAGGAGGAGGAGGAGGAGAAGGAGGAGGAGGAGGAGGGAGAAGGTACGGAGGAGGTAGGAGGTGGAGGGGGAGGAGGAGGGAGGAGGAGGAGGAGACGGCCGGGAACTCTTGGTAAGCGTGTTCTGGCTCACCACGTTGTGGCGCGACCCGCTCCCAACGTCTTGGTCCGGGAGCGTCAGCGTCCCGAGTTGTTCCTGGCCTCCCGCTGTGGGGAGCGGGTTCGTCGCGCTATCCCTCTGCAAGACATGCACGTTGCTCATTTCTATCAGGAGGGAAAGAAACACACAGACACAATTACTCGCCGACTCCCAGGAAAATATGGGAAAATATGAGAAGTGGGGGGGAGACAGAAACCTGGAAAACATGGGACAATATGGGGAATCCTTTTATTTGTGTGTATGTATTTGTGTGTCCCGGTTCCCCCATTCTAATTATTCGAAAATCCCTTGATTTGTTGGGGACCAAGATCCTTTCATTTCTGATTGTGCTATGCTGGGCCTCTTCCTGGCCACTAGGGGGCCAGGAACAATTAGAAACGAGCAGAATTAGAAATGAGCACGATTAGAAATGAACGAGGTGTACGTAGCGTGTTGCCAGGACCGTCGCCGCGACTCGCTGAGCAGAATTTCCCGACCGTAGGATTCCGACGGTGCCGAGATGCTGCAGGAGGCGAACACTCGTCATCGCCTTGCACGCCAGCATGATTGTTTGACGGGTGGTCGGCGGGAGGAGAAGCAACACCAACACCACCAGGGGGCCCACCTCCAGCGAGGAGCTCCACGATGCCTCCCCGAGCTGGAGGCTGGGGATGTCTCGAGCGAGAGGGGGGGGGGCCACACCACCAGGGAGACCCCTTGCCTCCTCGCATCTCCTCGTCGCCCTGCTGGTGTTGGTGTCGCCTTTCCTTGTTTCCAGGTTGGGGCCAGAGCCTCCAGTCTATGTCCTTTCTATCGTTTCGCTCTGGTCGATGTCTAGTGTCGGGTGCATGTCCAACATTTGGGGAGCCTCACTGAGACCACGGTAGGTGCACCCAAATCGCGCGTCCGCCGCGCTGCGCGGGGAAAGCAAGTCTACGCCCAGAGCCTCCCTCGTACCTTTTCGATCGAACGCGCCTTCCAGACCTCCGACGACTCGGTTGCTTACAGTCTGCTGCCCCCCGAGCTCTCGACTCCCTTTGCCGAGGGGTAGTTCCCCACCCCGAGTCGTCATTTGACGGCCTTGTGGCCCAGAAGCGGCCGCCGGGCAGGCAATGGAAATGCAGACAAGAACTCGTGGTGCGAGTCTTTCCGAGCCGCCCGCCGGAGATTTGGATTTTCCCACCTTTCTGGGCCGCTCTGGGTCGCTGTCCTGCTTCGGGGAGAGAGGGGTCACGCAGTCCACCTGCAAGGGGGAAAGGCCGACAATTTCTCGTCTTGTTCATTTGTGGGTCTACGTGGGCGGAGTGCGAGTCCGCTTTGAGCGCGCCCCGCCTTACTTTGCTCATCGACGGTTCGAGTCATCGGCGCGTCGGAGGAAAACGTGGGTGCCGCGTGTGATCTGACAGGTCGATTGGACTTCAGGAGCCACCGTTCAAAGAAGCACGTGGTTAGGCGGCCTCCGCCGCAGCGGCGTGGGCGTCGAACACGCAGGGTGCCAGGCGGCACCGCCCACTCCATGGGGGCGCTCCAGAACGGGCCCCGTCTTCGGCGCATCCCGCCTGCGGCGGAGACCGGCGGAGGCCCACGGGCGGAAGGTCGGCGGCAGGCGGCGGAAGGAGAAGGCACGGCCCCAGGAGGTGCCCACGCTTTGCTGTGGGCGTGCCATGCGTGCCGGTGGTCTCCTGGGCGTGCTTGCTCCCGTTGCGTTCGGCAGCAAGGCGTGGGGCGCCGATCAGCTTGGATTCGCAGGAGGCGACAAGATGGTGTGGGATGCTCCCACGAGTTGCCGCCGAAGTTCCGTCGGAGCGGGCCCCTCTCGGACACCGCCGGGTGGCACGCTCGGCAGGCAGCCCGTCGTTGCCCCCCTGTCACGCCGTAGAGGCAGAGGGAGGGAGCGGCTCCGTGGGGGGGCAAGGCAGTCTGCGCCGGGGCGAGTGGAGCGGAGCTCGATCCACAGCCGTGCTGCCTTTCGGGCACTCTCTTAACGGCCTCTTGGGGCGTCTTCTGGGCCTCGCGGGCCGTCTCCGGACCATCGAGGTTCCTCTTGGAGCGCTCTTCTGCTGTCTTGGGTCTCTCCCTGCGCCTCTCCGATGACCCCACTGGTCGCTTTGAATCTGCTCGCAAGGCCTGGCAAGGTGCCCTGGCTGGCCCGGAAGGGCCAGTGGACGTTTTCCAAGGGCGTCCCGGGTGTGTGTGTGTGTGTGTGTGTGTGTGTGAGTGTGTGTGTGTGTGTGTGTGTGTGTGTGTGTGTGTGTGTGTGTGTGTGTGTGTGTGTGTGTGTGTGTGTGTGTGTGTGTGTGTGTGGGGGGGGGTGTCCGGGAAATACAAATATAGGATTAGGAATGTAAGCGTACACACACCCCAGAAGACCGCCGTCTTGGAGCGTCGGGGGGCCGGAAAGAGAATAACCTTCAATGTCACCAACAAACAACAGAAAATCATTGATTCTTGCGTGTTGGGGCCTTCTTGGGAGTGCTCTTGGAGGCCTTTTGGGACGTTTTGGAGCGATCTTTGGGGGTATGACGGCTTCTTCGGGGACGTCGTGGGCCGTCTTGGGACTCTGGGGTCGTTTCGGGAGCGCGCCGGAGCGCCTGGAGCCCTCTGGTGCCGTCTTCGGGCTCTCGTGGGTTTCTCCCGGGTCGTTTGGAGGGTTGCCCAAGAGGCCCGGGTCGGGCGAAATTCGTTTGTGTGGGGAGTTTTTTCCGGACCCCCCGGTACTGATCTATCTATATATATATACACATACATACATACAACCATGCATACATACATCCATACCTACCTACCTACCTACCTACCTACCTACCGACCTACCTACCTAATTTCCTACCTACCTACCTACCTACCTACCTGCCTGCCTGCCTGCATGCATGCATGCATGCATGCATGCATACATACATACATACATACACATACATACACACATACATACATACATACATACATACATACATTCATACATACATTCATACATACATACGTACACGCATACATACATACATACATACATACATACATACATACATACATACATACATGCATGCATGCATGCATACATACATACATACATACATACATACATACATACACACATGCATACAAACATACATACATACATACATGCATGCATGCATACAGACAGACAGACAGACAGACAGACAGACAGACATACATTCATACATGCACACATGCATGCATGCATGCATACAGATATACCTATATATACACATATATGCATATGTATACACAATATGTTACCGGCTCGCTTCGCTTCGCCTTTACAAATTTGGTCGCATGGCGCCAGAGAGGCGCGATGGGACCGGCAGTCGTCACTGCCGCGGTGCGATTCGGGAAGTGGTCATGGGTGTCATAGGACTCATCGGAATTGTAGGGCTCCTGGGGTTCCGTGAGGTCATCGGCTCTTGGGAATCATCGTGCTCGTAAGGTCCGTGAGGCTCAGAAGGCTCATAGGGCTCATTGGGTCATGGGGCCACAGGGATCGCAGGGCTCGTCAGGCTCACAGGGGTCGTAGGGCTCACATGGCTCAGAGGGCTCCAGTGCTCATAGGGCTCATGGGGCTCATGGTCCCATAGGGCTCGTAGGGCTCGCAGGGCTTCTAGGGCTCATAGGACTCACAGGGCTCATAGGGCTCACAGGGCTCATTGGGCTCATAGGTCTCGTGGTGCCCGCGGGGCTCATAGTGCTCATAGGGCTCCTGGGGCTCGTAGGGCTCATAGGACTCATACGGCCCGTAGGGCTCATAGGGCTCATCAGGTTCATGAGGCCCATGCGGCTCACAGCAGTCATAAGGCTCATAAGGCCTATAGGGTCATAGGGCTCATAGGGCTCATAAGGCCAAGGGTTCTCATAGGGCTCACATGGCTCACAGGCTCATGTGGCCCGTGAAGCTCGTAGAGCCCTCCGGGCCCGTAGGGCTCATTGGGCTCATAGGAATCGTACGGCCCATAGGGCTCATAGGGCTCATGGTGCCCGTAGGGCTCATAGTGCTCATGGGGCTCCTGGGGCTCATAGGGCTCATACGGCCCGTAGGGCTCACAGGGCTCATGGTGCCCGCGGGGCTCATAGTGCTCATAGGGCTCCTGGGGCTCATAAGGCTCGAAGGGCTCACACGGCCTGCAGGGCCATAGGGCTCATAGGGCTCATGGGGCCCGCAAGGCTCGTAGTGCTCATAGGGCTCCTGGGGCTCATAGGGCTCATAAGGCTTATACGGCCTGTGGGGCTCGTAGGGCTCATGGGGCTCAAAGGCCATACATGGTCCAGGGCTTGGGCCCCCCCCCCAATGCTGATGCCATTGGGCCCCCCCCCCGCGCGATGGTCCCCTCAGCCCCCCCTGTGTGCGTGGCGTGGTGCTGCGCTGCGGTCCCCCCCCTGTGGATGTGGTGTGGTGCTGTGGTGGTTCAGAAGTGGGCGTGGCGTGGTGCTGCGCTGCGGTGCCCCCCTTCCCCCCCCCTGTGGATGTGGTGTGGTGCTGTGGTGGTTCAGAGGTCGTCGTCGTCGTCGTCGTCGTCGTCGTCGTCGTCGTCGTCGTCGTCGTCGTCGTCGTCGTCGTCGTCTCTGGGACCATACCATCTGGGGGGGGGGCCCGAGGAATCCTGGGACCATACCATCTGTGGGGGGGGGGCCGTGAACCCTCGACCCTGGATCACACATGGCTCGTAGGGGGTCGTAGGGCCCGCGGGGGCCGTGGGACTCATAGGGGTCATGATGCCCGTAGGGCTCATAGTGCTCATGGGGCTCCTGTGGTTCATGGGGCTCACACGGCCCGGGAGCCCGTATGGCTCAGGGCTCATGGCAGAACTGCGCCTGCCCCTCGGGCATGCAGGGAGTGTAGGGGTAGGGGGATGGGTGCGGGGTTGCGGGCCTGATAGGGCCAGGAAAGGTCATGAAACTCGCAGGGTTCATCGGGCTCCTAAGCTCGTAGGGGTCATGGGGTTCTCAGAGTCGTAGAACTCGTAGGGCTCATAGGTTTCGTAGGGGTCGTAGGGCTCATGGGGCCCATAGGGGTCTCAGGGGGCATATGGGTAGAGGGCTCATGTGGCTCGTGAGGCTCACCAGGTGCAGAGGACTCGTGGGGCTCGCAAGGGGCACAGGGGCCAGACAGTCCATAGGCATCCTAGGGCTCATAGGGCTCGTAAGGCTCACATGGGTCGTAGGGCTCGTAGGGCTCATTGGGCTCATAGTTGTAGGGCTTGTAATGCTCGCAGGGGTCGTAGAGCTCGTAGGGGTCGTCGGGCTGGTAGGGCTCATAAGGCTCTTAGGGCTCATGGGGCTCGTAGGGGTGATGGAGCTCGGAGGTGTCATAGGGCTCATGGGGCTCATAGGGTTCGTGTAGGGCTCATAGGGCCCGTAGGGATGGTAGGGCTCACAGGGATCATGGGGCCTGTAGGGCTTACAGGGGCCACGGAGCTCATAGGGCTTACAGGGCGCATAGGGGTCGGAGGTCTCACGGGGCTCGGAGGTGTCATAGGGCTCATGGGGCTCAAGGGGCTCAGAGGGCTCGTAGGGCTCGTAGGGGTCGTAGGTCTCGTAGGGCTCATAGGGAGCGTAGGGCTGATGGGGCGTGTAGGGCTCACAGGGCTCACGGCAGTCATGAAACTCTGTGAGGTGTTGTTGTGGCCTCCTGTGGCCGTCTTGGGGGGCTTTTGGGAGCCGTTGGGGACATTGGCGGCTCTTTGTTGGGCCGTCTTGGGGCTCTCGTGGGCCGTGCGGAAGTGCTTTGGGCCGGGTAGGGGACCTCATTGAAGCATTTGTGTGGCCTCCCGGGGGGGGGGCTCTTGAGCTCATGTGTTGGACTGGGAAGGCGTCGTCGAGGTCTCTTGGGGCTCTCTGGGACCCTCGGAGGGCTCTTTGGGGGGCCCCCCGGCGGCTCTGGGGCAATATTTGGGGGAAGAGCTCGAAAGGTCAGTTCCGTTGGTCCTTTTGGGGGCCATCTTGGGCCGTCTTGCGGGGCTTCTTGGGTGGTCTTGGGCGGTCTTGGGGCCATCTTGGGGCCATCTTGGGGCCCTCTTGGGCCGTTGTGGGGCCCTCATGGGAACCTTTTCCGGCGTCTTAGGGCAATCTTGGGGGCCTGTTTGACCGTCTTGCGTGGTCGAGAGGTCGAGAAAGCGAGCACGTTGAAAATCATGAAAAGCTTATGGGAAACGTACGCATTTTGGCTTCTGGGGCCCGCTTGGGGGTGACCTATGGGCTCTCGTGGGGCGTCTTGGGGGCCTTTTGGGCCGTCCTGAGACCATCTTGGGCGTGTTGGAGCGGTCTTGGGCCGTTGCGGTGCTCCGCAGGACCGTCCAGGGAGCGATTTTGAGCTCGCCAGGGCGGCTTGGGATGACCGAGAGGGGCCTCCAGAACCGAATACCCGAATTTCCCGCCGATGGGAGCGCCCAGGGCCGAATTTATGTACGGGGGGGGGTCACCCGCGGTTTTCCGATGTAAGACTATTCGAAGAGGAATATGTGTATATATATAATATAAACACATATATCAACACAGATCAATCGATAGACAGAGTCGTGGTGGTGCTGCCCACATCCGCCACCACACTTGGAGAAGGTGCGCAGCATTGCTGCAGCACGTCGCGACAATTGCGTTGCACAGTTGGCGAGGTACCTTTCGGGGAGCCTTTTTCCGTCTGCGTTCGGGGCCGTCGGGGTTTACTTTGGAGCGTTTTTGTTGAAGGGCAATGGCTGTTTGGGGCTGGTCTTGCGCACGAAGGCAGACTGTCATCATCTTGACTTATCTGGGGCGGTCAAGCGCACTCGACGGCGCACGTTGGCCTGCCAGGGGCCCTCTGGAGGATTCTGTTGGAGCCTCGGAGGGGCCCGCCTGAGGTCTTGAGGCAAATTACCACCCCAGTTGGGGATACACCCTTAGAAACCCGAAGAGAACGACCTATACCCCCATCTAGGAGGGTAAATCGGCCAGCGGGGCCCAGGCCACGCCGCTGGGGATGGGGATCGGTGAAACGATACTCAGAGGCCGTGATGGGTGCTGCTTCGGGCGTTTCGGGGGGTGGGACGATCTGGACGATCTGGAGCAGGTTTTCACGAAGTACGAGATCATGCGAGGGCCGCGGCCCTGGCCCTCCACCCCTCGCGGGTCGGCGGACCCCGGCCGAACACACCGCGCATTCGCATTCGCATTCGCACTCGGGGGGTCGGGGTTCTTGGTGTAGGCTTGCGAGGCCGTGGGGAAGTCTCGGCTTCGAGGTCGTGTCGAGCTGGCCGTAGGCCATCTGGGCTCTGGGTCTTTCCCCTCGGAGTGGTCTTGGGTCGGCCTCGGGCCCCACCCCACCCGCCGCGTCCTGGGGAGCATCTGGGGATCGAGGGTCGCCCAAGCCCTTCCGCCGAGTCAAACCGGAGAGTTTGCGTTTCTGATTTCCGAGGCCCCCGAGCGCGTCAACATTGGGGTGCAGGGTGCGAGTGTGTCGGGGAGTTCAGTTCGTGGGGGGGCGGCCGCCTAAACAGTATCACTGGGCATGAGCAGCTGGAGACCCACAAGGAGCTTGCAGCACGCCTGCCGGGGCAAGCGTGATGGGTGACCCCTCGGCTGCAGCCCCCAGCTGGCATCAGGCGGGCATGCGCAATCCAGTGAGCACGCTGCTTGCGGGCGCGCACGCACACTGATGACCCCCCCCTCCCTCCGGCTCCTTTCGCACACCCTCCCCCTCGACCATGATGCGCTTCCCTTCCCCCCCCGTTTTCCCTCCTCCCCTGCCTTGCCCCCTTCCTTGGCTCTTGAGTCCGGCGGCGTGCGAGGGGGGGGAACTGAGCAGGAGAAGGCCTCCTCAGAGGGCGGCGGGACTTCTCCGAAGCCCTATAGCGCCTTCGGAGAAGTTTTTTTCTGCGTCTTCGGAGAGGGCTCAGAAAGCTTCTCAGACGGCTGGGGGACTTCCGAACCGAAGGCCTCGGGGCCTAAGAGACGGGGGTCAGTGCAAACGGGGGTCAGCCAGAGCGCCAGATCCTGCAGGATCCTGCGAAGGCCCCCTCTGGCTGACCCGGGTTAGCGAGCCGCTCGTCGCCGCGAGGCCGCGAGGCGGCCGCTCGTATTGGCTGACCCGGGTTTGCGAAGACCGGCGTTGCAGTTTTTTTTCTTGCATTGCAGTTTTTGGTTTCCTGCTGACCCGGGTCTGGATTGACCCGGGTCAGAAGATCCCCGAAGGCCTTCTCCTCCTCACGTCCCCCCCACCGCTCGCCGCCGATGCGCGTCGCCCAGGGGCCCGGAGACAAGGCGCCCCCGCTGCAGTTCGCCTCGCTCTACGTCGGCGACCTGCACCCGGACATCGCCGAGGCTGCTCGCTCGGCCAAGAGTTAAGTCGGGCCTGCCCCCTACAGGGGGATTTTCGACGAAAAAATGAAAAATAATCTAAACATAATCCAAAAATAGTCCAAAAATCGTCTGGGGACTATTTGTTGAATATGCTTTGACCTTTTTGCGGCTTTTTTTTATTTTTCGTAGAAGATCCCCCTGTGGGGGGGGGGACACGCCCGACATAAGCCAAGAGGGGGGTGGCCGCCGAGCCGTTGGCACGGCAAGGGCAAGGGCAAGGGCAGGGCAGCGCAGAGGGTTGCCAAGGCAGCGAGCTGCGAGAGAAGCAGTCCGCGCCAGTAAGTCAGCACTCGGCGGCGGGCGAAGGGGGGGGGAGGAGGAGGAGGAGGAGGAGGAGGAGGAGGAGGAGGAGGAGGAGGAGGAGGAGGAGGAGGAGGAGGAGGAGGAGGAGTGAGAAGGAGAAGGCCTCATCAGGAGGCTCGGAAGTCCTGCCGCCTTCCGAGAGGGTTCCCAAGCCTTCCGCGAAGGCGCGGAGCATTTCTCAGGAGGCGCGAGGGCCTCTGAGAAGTCCCGCCGCCTTCTGAGAAGGCGTCTCCTTCTCACTTCCCCTTCTCGCTCGCCGCCAACCAGGACAAAGCAGCGCAAAGGGACGCCAGGGCAGCGAGCTGCGAGAAGCATTCCGCTCGCCAGTGCCTCCTCACTTCCTCTCTCTCTCTCTCCCCCCTTTGAGCATCTCGGCCAACGCTTGGCATGAACAGCTGCAGAAACAACAGCTACGGCAAGCAAACGTGCGGATGTCAGATCAAAGCATGGCAGATTACACCGGCAGACCTCCCTCTTCCTCCTGCTCCACCTGCTGCACTTGTGGCTTCTTCCCCTCATAATTCATGTGTGTGTGTCTGCCTCTGCATGTCCTTGCTTTCCTTTGCTCACCTGCGGCGACAACAGATCCCCATTGGGGTAGAACCAGTCTCGTCTTTTCAAGCCAGGGTAACCAGCCTGTCCAGCCCATGTGCATCACGAACAGACGATCACAGCAAGCGTGCCAGGAGCATGGCGTAGGGAGTGCAAGGACAGAAGTTGAGCAGCTATGCAGAGGGAGGGCGATGTAGAGCTGTTCAGAGTCTCAGGCAGCTGCGTGAAGCGCAGGGAGTGTTGGAGTAGGCCGAAAGGAGGAGCGGGGGAGCGATCTCGTGACGGCCACGGCACGAGGAGCGCCAGGACGGGGAGGGCGCGCTCGAGCCATCCAGAGGAGCGGGGCGGCTGCGTGAGACGCATTGCGGGGGCTTCTCCTACCCTCCTCCTCCTCCTCCCCCTCCTCCTCCTCCTCCTCCTCTTTCTTCTCCTCTTCCTCCTCCTTCCTCCTCCTCCTCCTCCTCCTCCTCCTCCTCCTCTGAGCAGGACAGGGGTGGCGTTTCCTGGAAGGCCACCCTGTACGAGGCGTTCCAGTCCGCGGGCAACGTGGCGTCTTGCCGCGTGTGCCGCGACAGGAGCGCCGCCCTTTGCCTTCAGCAGCCAGGGAGAGGGGGCGGGTGGGTGGGCATGGCGTGAGCTGCAGTGCACTGTGGAGAAAGTATGTCCCTCCTCCCTCCCAGCGCAACGCGCCCTCCTCCCCCCCCTCCTATGCGCCCCCCCCCCGCACCCACTACTGCCCCAGCTCGTGTGGCGGCTGCGCCTCTTGCTCCCTTTGTTCCTCCTCCTTCACGCTCCTCGTTCATTTCCTTCTCCTCTGCCTCGTCTCCTCCTACTCCTCCTCCTCCTCCTCCTCCTCCTCCTCCTCCTCCTCCTCCTCCTCCCCAAGACTCGTCATCCTCTTCCCATTCTCCCGCCCCGTCCTTCTCCTCCTTTTTTCCTTTCTTCTCCCACCCTCCCCTGTCCGCTCGCACCGCCGTGCGAAGGATGCGGCTTGCACTGCATCCGGACACACTCTGGTGTTGCCAACTTCCCGGACGAGACGTAGGTTCAAGATCCACGCTGCGTTGAATTGAATAATTGGATCTCCCTTCGCCCTAGATCGCAACTGTCGTGCCCCGCTGCTTCCGGCAGGCCCGCCTGTCTGCCGGCAGCCCGCCGCCCCTTTTTAGTTGGGGCTAGTTCTATGGAGCAGGGCGCGACTCGACTCGACTCATCCCTCCTCCCTCTTTTTTCCCTCCCTCCCTCGTCGGCTCATCCCTCCTCCCTCCCTCCATCCTCCCTCTTCGGCTCAGCCCTCCTTCCCCCTTTTCTCCTCTCCCCCTCCGGGGGGGGGGGGGGGGGAAAGGGAGGGGGTAAAGGGGGGGGGGGCGGGCTCTCCCTCTCCGGGTGGGGCCCTCTCCCTCTTCTTGTTTCCTCCTCGTCCTCCTTCCCTCCCTGCCTCCCCTTCCTCCTCCTCCGCCTCCTCCTCCTCCTCCTCCGCCTCCGCCTCCTCCTCCTCCTCCTCCTCCTCCGCCCTGCCCGCAGCGTGAGCCGCAAGTCGCTCTGCTACGGGTACGTGAACTACTACACGGTGGAGGACGCGGAGAAGGCGAGCGCCCCTCGCTGTCCAGACCTCCAGGAGGATCGGGGTAGGCTCCGAGGGGGGAGGGGGAGGGGGGAAGGTCGGGGCTCAAGAGATGGGGGTCAATACAAACGGGGGTCAGTCAGAGCGCTGGATCTTGCAGGATCCTGCAGGGCAAGGGGTGCACTGACCCGGGCTTGGGTGCAAGATCCTGCAGGATCTTGCAGGATCTTGCAGGATCTTGCAAAGCCTGTCACGGTTCTTCATAGCAATACTGCTTCACGTTCGTCTCATTTGGGGCAGACTGATCAGTTCGATCTCGTCGCCAGCAGTGTTCTCGATATCGGTCAAGAAATCAGGTAGTTGTTGTTGTGAATTATGTTTATCCGCGTGCAGGAAGGCTGGCATGTGTAGCTTCCAGCCGAAATCCTTCTGGTCGGGCCGTTCGCTTGATTGACTTTCTCCGCTGTCGCACAGGCGCTGGATACTCTGAACTACATGTCCATCAAGGGGAAGCCTTGCCGGATCATGTGGAGCCAGCGGGATTCGACCCGGAGGAGCGTTCTTTTAAATGGACGCATGTTGCGAGCGATGAGGCATGGTTTCAACATGTCTGGCCGCATCGACCTAGAAGGGCGTTTGTTCGAGTGCATTAGCTGCGTTTCGGCAATCGAAGGCGTACGAGTAGAGACTGGCGAGGACTTATTTGACCATGCAGTTTTTGACTGGAATGTGGCGCTTGATTTTTGAACTGGTGCATGAAGAAGCGAGGTTGAGTCACAACGTATACAATATAGATACTTGCATGAGGAGCAGCAGCAGCAGCTCACTATGCGCATACAATTGTGCACTCGGCTTCGAAATGTGCAGTCACAGGCAAAGCACCAACAGCAACATCTTCGTGAAGGGACTCGACCTGTCTATCGACAACAAGGCGTTGCACGATACCTTCAGCGTCTTTGGGCACATCCTCTCATGCAAGGCGCAGAGTTTTTTGCAAGCGTTCCTATTCTACGCGCTTTCGCTGCACCGAGCTGGCCAGCTTGGCTGCTTTAGTGCCCAGGAGGAGCAGGAGGAGGAGGCCATGCCGAGTCTATGAACGGGAAGAGGACCGCGATGCGGGGGAGGGAGAGGAGGAGGAGAAGGAGGAGAAGGAGGTGGAACAGCAGGAAAAAGGAGGAGGAGGAAGATGAGGATGAGGAGGAGGAGGAGGAGAAGGGTGAGGGTGAGGGTGAGGGTGAGGAGGAGGAGGAGGAGGAGGAGGAGGAGGAGGAACATGAGGAAAAGGAGGAGGAGGATGAGGAGGAGAAGGAGAAGGGGAGGGAGGTGGAGGAGGAGGAGGAGGAGGAGGAGAAAAGGGTGGAGGAGTTGTAGGTGGCGAAGGGGGACGTTTGAACTATGAGACGGAGCGCAGCAGTGCACCAAGCAAACACGCGAAAGAAGATTTGGCCGTCTTTGGCACTCTTGAAGAGAGCTGTGGCAGTGACTGGTGTGTTTTTGTTTGGGGCTGGGGCCTCGAGAGATACGGACGTACTTGAAGGCAAGTAGACGTCATGTCAAGAAGGACGGTGCCACCGCTCGATGAGGAGCAGTCGCAGTCGTGAGCTACCCTATCCCTGTCTAAATCACGCATGTGCCTTCCTCAGATATTCATCCTGATTCCGCCCGCCATCGTTCCATTCCAATGCTGCACTTCCTTGTATCGAGGTCTCCATGGACAACTCGGGAAAGTCACGGGGTTACGGCTTTGTGCACTACGAGTCGGAGCAGGCGGCCAAGGAGGCGCTTGGTTTGGCCTTTTCTCGATGTTGTTAGGGCAAGTGCAATAACCATCTCGGGGATATCTTGCCCGTCCCCAGCTGCTCACCTCCACTGCTGCCGACCATTATATCATGCTCCACAGTGCACCCCTCCATCTCCCTCACACCCTATCCTTAATCCTCGATGGTTGCGCTCTTGTCTCAAAGGGTGCGTGGTGCTGTACCCAACGCTACGCCCCCCCACACCCAGACTGGGCAGTTAAGCCTTGCATCGTTGATTGAAAGATGGCACGTGCCTCTGGCTCCAGTCTCTCTCTCTCTCTCTCCCTTTCCTCTCTCTCTCTCTCACGCGGCCTATGGGGGCGAAGAGGTGATCCGAGTTCTTGTAGACTGCCTCGTTGGAGAATGTGCCCACACCTTGGCCGCTCAAGCTTTTCGCGCTTGTGATTGTTTGTCAGGGTCGCACGCTGTTTTCTATCGCACCAGCTCGAAACCGAAAGGGGACAGGATGGCAGGCGAGCAAAAGCTCGCACCGAAGGAGCGGAAAGAAGCCCTCGCCTCCTCACTTCGACTCCCGGCCCCCTCCGCCTTCCCTTTGTTCCACCCTCGTGCCCATGCAGCCTCCTCTCCGCTTCCACTGCGCACGGGTGCCCGCTGCCGCCGTCCCCGCCGGGGCGCCCGGGAAGGGGGGCCGACGCGGGCTGGCGGGCGGGACCGCCTCCCGGGGCCCCCGGAGCCTCGAGGCTCGAGGATCTCGAGGCTCGAGGATCTCGAGGATCTCGAGCATCTCGAGGATCTCGAGGCTCGAGGGGCGAGCATCCGGGCCCGAGGATCGCGGGGACCGGGGGCCCGAGGCGCGGGGGCCGCGGCCTGCAGCTGCTCGCGGCGGTCGAGGCTCGGAGGTTCGGGGGGTCGGGGAGCGAGGTCCCCCCCTCGGGGCCTTGGCAGGCCGCGGCGCGGAGCGTGGTGGAGGAGGGGACGAGGAGGACGAGGAGGACGAGGAGTTCGAGGAGGAGGAGGAGGAGGAGGAGGAGGAGGAGGAGGAGGAGGAGGAGGAGGAGGAGGAGGAGGAGGAGGGAGGAGGAGGAGGAGGAGGAGGAGGAGGAGGAGGAGGAGGAGGAGGAGGAGGAGGAGGAGGAGGAGGGAGGAGGAGAGGAGGGGAGGAGGGAGGAGGCGGAGGGTCGGGCGCGCGTCCCGTGCCCCCCCCCCCCCCCCAGGCCATCTCCAAGGTCAACGGGATGAGGGTCGGCGAGAGCATCGTCACCGTCGCGCCCTTCAAGGCGCGCGAGGGGGCGGAGGCCAAGGACACCGACGAGTCCTACACGAACCTGTACATCAAGAACATGCCAGAGGACTGGGACGACGACAAGATCCTGAGCGTCTTCGGCGAGTTCGGTGAGGCCGCGCAAGCGTGGCTGCTGGCATCGAGACCCCGCCATCTCCCGCGCGCGAGACCTCTGGGGGGACTTCAGGGTCCCCCCAGTGCCAATGTGGTGTGTATTCCTCTACGTTTGTTTGCCCTCTCTTTCCCCCTCTCATTCCCCATTTCCAGTGGTGATCTACTGTCATACTGGTCATCCACGAGACAGAGCGGGCTCAATATTCAAAACCTCCGTACTGGTTCAGGCGGGCGTTCTGACCGCCAAGGTTTTCCAACCAGGCGTACTTACTGGCGCTGGGAATTGTCAATCACCAGATTTGTCTTGTTCGAACGCGGGTGGATTGGCTCGAAGAGGCGCAAGACCGTCGCAGCTGGAAGGCAACGGAACCAGCGTTTCTGGAATGGTGCTTGAGTGGAGTTCTCGCACTGTTGTAGGTGTCGGGCCTCCGGATACCTCTGGGCCTCTCATGGCACACTTCGTTTGCTCGATCTCACCCCCCTACTCCCTCTCTGCCATAGCTTGTTTTTGAATATGCTTATGTCTGTGCTGCCGTTTTTCTAGCTCTCCCTCTCTGTCTCTCTTTGTCTCGCCCTCTTTTTTGTAATGTGTCATCTCTCTCTATCTCTCTTTATCTAGCCTTCACACTTCCTCTCTCTCTCTCTCTCCCCTTCCCTCTCTCTCTCTCTGTCTCTCTCTCTCTCTCTCTTTTGCTCCCCCTCTACGCCCACCGTATCAGTAGTAGTCTTCTATATGTATGCAATGTGTGTGTGTGTGTGTGTGTGTGTGTGTGCGTGGCATTCGGCCCATCCCGCCACCGTGCCTCGCTCATGTATAAGTGGCCTCCTGACTTCCCCTTGGGTCCTCTCTCTGGGGGGCCTCTCGCGGCCTGGGGCTCCCCCGGACTCCCGTGGGAGCCTCTTTTGGGGGGGGGCCTCTTTTGGGGGTCCGCTGGCGGACTCGCGGGCCACCTTGGGGGCAATGGCTCGACTTGCAAGTTTTGAGTCGGGCACGTCCCTCCACAGAAGGAACACTCAAACACAACTACATAGAAAAAGTATGGGCACGGTTTTCCGACAAGGCGGCTCACTATTTTTGAACGTGTGTGTGTGTGTGTCTCTGTGTGTGTGTGTCTGTGTCTGTGTGTGTGCGTGTGTGTGTGTGCGTGTGTGCGTGTGTGTGTGTGTGTGTGTGTGTGCGTGTGTGTGTGTGGGGGGGGGGGCAATTTCTCACTTTTCGTTCACAACCCGCCTGTGGGAGGACATGCCCAACCGACCTGCACGTCCGTGCCGGGGCCTCGCGCGCAGCCCCGTGCTGGGCACCGCCGGCCTCCCTCGGGGGTGCGGCTCGGGCTGCCCCGGGGGCGCCCGCCAGGGCGGCATGGCGAGCCCGCGAATGCCACACATACCGCCCGTGGGTTGGCGATGACTTGGGCCTCTCTCGGGCCCGCCCCCCCCCCCCGACCTCCCCGCGCCGCGAAACCATCACGACGCGATGTCTTTGGCTATTTTCGGCCCCCGGGGACCCTTCCCGGGCCTCGGGACCGTCAAGAAACGACTCAGGATGAGGAGCTGGTCCCGGGGCAGGGGTCCAGACCTCTTTGGGTCGACGTCGTGAAGACATCACGACGTCGGAGGTGTGGGCCCTGAGAGCCTCCAACCCAGCCCATGAGGCCCCCGAGAGAGCCCCAGGTCGGCCCCCCCGGCGGGGCCCTCTCCGAGCACGCTGGAGGTGGAGGCTCGGGACAGGTCCCGCGGGCATTCCCGGCAGCGCCCGGCAGCGCGCTCAAGAGCGCCAGGTAGTTACACGGGGGCCCGGGGCCCCTCGGAGAGCTGTCACAGCACTTGCAGTAGGCAGTGCGGAGAAGCCCTGAGGACACTCCTCTCAGTATCTGCAGCACGGTGCGTCCTTACATACAGGGCTGTGCTAGCAACATCGGCTTCTTTTTTCATAGCACACGGATCCTGCACAGCGTCGGTCCCAGACGGGGAGGCTGGATCCGGAGCGCGCCAGGAGGGCCCAAGACGGCCCCAGATGGCCCCAAGACGGCCCCGGAGGGCCCCAGGAAGCCTCAGGAGGGCCCGAGGAGCGCCCCAAGACGGCCATGATGGGCCCAATGTGGGCCTAAGATGGCAACTCGACGGCACAACGGGCTGCCCAGATGGCCCAATGGGGCACCGCAGACGACTCCCAAGAGCCCCTCGGGAGATGCAAATTATATGTGTTCCTTGGGTCTCCGTTTCATTTTCGCATATTTGGCTTCTCGGTTTCCAAAGCGCTCGAGACGACCGAAGAGGCCCCCGACATCGCTCCAAGATAGCCCAAGAGGGCCCCTTAACGAGCCCAGAACGGCCCAAGAGGGGCCCAAGACGGCCCCAAGATGCTCCAAGAGGGCCCTTCCAGAGGGGCTCCAGACGGCTCAAGAGGGCCCCCAAACAGCCCAACAGGGTCCCCGGACCGCCCCAGAACAGCCCCAAGAGACCCCCAAGATTGTCCACAGAGACCGAGACGGCCGCAGAGGGCCCCGAGACGGCCCGGCAGGCCCCCAAGACAGTGTGAAAACGGCCTCAAGAGACCCCGAAGAGGGCCCATTCGGGACCATGCGTTCGTACGGCTTATATATATATATATATATATATATATATATATATGTATAGGTGGTCATGTGGTTTGGGGGGTGCTGGGGGGGCGTCCATATATATATATATATATATATATGTGTATATGTATATGTACGCATGCACCGAAGTATGTACGCGCACAGATATATATATATAATTATATATACACATGTGTACACATATGGGAATGTATGCATCAACTCATGTATCTGTCATCCAGGTGCTTCATCTCTCTGCGCATGTGTACCCGCATCTTCAACTCTCCCTCCTCAGTTCCTTGGTGGATTCCTTGTGATCGCAGCGGGCCGATGAAGTCTTACGCATGGAGCTGGCATCGTTGCTCGCAACGTCCGCTCTTCCATGTTCTGGAAGGGCAGGAGCTACACCGCTTTTAGGCCCCGTGTTCTGGCAAGCAGTCCCTATCCCCTTTGCCTTCTTCAGCCCGCAGTCGGCTCCAAACCTCTCCCGTCACACTGAGACGCTCCGATGTCACCCTCGCTATATGCAGGACCTCCGAGCTTGAGGCCGCCTGGTGTTCTGCACGCGCTGCGTCCTTGACCCCAGCCCTCTTGTGTCGTTCTTTCTTTTCGTTCTGCCGTCGGATCCGCGCCATCTGATTGATGCTCATCCATCGCCCCCGCATCTCTCTCTCTCTCGTCATTGTGTATGCGCGCCCTCGTTATTAGTATCCCCATGCCAGATATAGCACCTCCGCCTTGCTCACCGATTGCTTACTTGCATGCCAAACGCTGGTGGAAGAGGTTGTCTCTTCGGTCAGCATGAAGACCGACGACGGTAAGCGCTTCGCGCTCTTGAACTTCCAGGAGAGTGAGTGTGCTAAGGCCGCAGTGGCGGCCTTGCACAAGAAGGACATGCGCAAGGAGAGCGAGATCTTGGCGGACACGGAGAAGGAAAAGGATCTCTACATTGTCTTACATCAGTTGACCTCAGTGTCTGATGATGCCGTTGCCGTTGTCGATGATGATGTTGATGATGCTGCTGATGATGATGATGTCGATGATGTCGGTGACGGTGCTGGCGGTGATGTTGGTGTTGATGTGTTTGTGGGTGATGCTGGTGAGGCTCATGAGGTTGGTGATGAGTCAGTCGGATGATGATGGTCAGGGCCGAATGGGGGAAGGTGGATTATTTTGTGCTTGCGCCTATTGGTGGTGGTGTTGCTGACGCTTTTCATGTATCGATTTCTGCCAGGCACCAGTCTTTTTGATAGTCTCGCCTGGGAGGAGGACGGGGAGGAACGCGAGGGAAAAGCGGGAGGGGGAGGAGGCGTCTCTTTCCTACCTGCCCCCCCGCCCCCGCCCCCCCCACTCTTGTACTCTTCTGTGCTTCTTTTGTTTCCTCAACCATTCTGTGGTCTTGGATCCTCGCTTTGAAGAGACAGCTTCCCGCGTCACTCAATCACTCCCTCCTCCTTCCTTCTCCCTTTTCCCTTCGCCCTCCGCGTGTCCAATTCGGCTCACCCCTCACAAGTTTCGTTGTCCCGTAGGGCGTTCCCTCTGGGGCCCGAGTGGCAGCGTTCGCATGCGTCCGCGTCACCCACTTCGGCACACCCCTTGCACATTCCGTGGCCCCACAGGGGGCTCCACTGAAGGCCCCAGTGGCACCGTTCTCATGCGTCCGCGCCACAAATTTCAACGCATCCCTCACACGCTTCGTGGCCTCATAGGGAGCTCACCTGAATGCCCAGGTGGCACCGTTCGCATGCGCCCCCACCACCCATGTCGGCACACCCCTCACATGCTCCGTGGCCCTACAGGGATCCCCACTGAAGGCCCCAGTGGCACCGTTCGCATGCGTCCGCGCCATAAATTTCAACGCATCCCTCACGCGCTTCGTGGCCTCATAGGGAGTTCCACTGAATGCATGTGCCCCCGCCGCCCATTTCGGCACACCCCTCAAACGATTCGTTGCCCCATAGGGAGCTCCATGCCTAAGGCCCCACTGGTTCCGCCGCCGCATGCGTCCCCGCCACACAGTTCGGTACACTCTTCACACGTTTCGTGGCCACATGGGGAGTTCCGCAGAAAACAGTGCCCACAACGCGGTACTCACAATTGCATGTTGCTCTCTCCTAGCCGCATCCACCCCGACCTCCGAGAACAGGCCAGATTCCCCACAGCGCCCATGAAGCGCGGTGGAAGTCCCTCCTCGCCCACGTCTATATGTCATTCTCAGCCACATGCGTCTGGAATATGCGTGGGCCCGGAGGCACAGCTTGGAGCAGAGCTTGCAGGACTTGGCTGGTTGGCCGGCCTGGCGCATGGTCGAATAAATGTCGTTGATCCCTACGCGGGACCCTCCGGGCGACATCGGCGATCGCCCTCGTCCATGTCAGGACGCGTGCTAGCCCCATGTCTGGTTACCCCCTTCAGCTCCGCAAAGCAGCCTGTGTCGGCCCTCACTGCACACCCTGCGTCGCGCGGAGGGGCGCGTGATGGACAAGCACGGGATAGCGCTTACACACGTTCTGATGATCATCGGCCCGCCCCCCCTACCCCCTACAGTGGAGACCCATGCCAAGAAACACCCTGCTTGCCTCCAGGGTGCCCTGGGTTTCTTGGGTTTCGATGGTGTTGCTATGGAAGGCGTGACGTTCCCGCACCAAAAATCGATGGACGTCCTGGGGTCTCAGGGATGGGTTTCTTGTGGAAGGTTCCTTGTGAACTGGCCTCCACTGTATGCCTCTGTCTCCTCACCTCCCCTTCCCCCCCTCCCCCGTCCCCCGTTCTCCCAGTCCTCATCTCCCCTTCTCCCCCATTGAAGGGCGACAAGGCGTGTGTGTAGCGCCAATACACGCTCTGAGGACCACTCCCCCACGGCACCGCGGCGCGCTGCGAAAACTGGTCCGCACCAGCTCTGGCAGCGACCGATGCAGCGACCGCCCCGTACAGGGTCTGAGCCGGACCCGGGCAGCAGCTGCGGAGGGCCCAGCGAAAAAGAGCCAATCATGACCATGATGACCTCGAGGGCCGCAGTCCGTCGCCGGCGCCACGTCGTCAGCAATTGTCGCGGCGCCCGATACATCCTCCAGATCCGCCGATTCTCAGAGGTTTCCAATCTATGTTGGTCCGACTTTGTCTCGATTCGACCCTCGACTTTAATCTGGCGCCTGGTTGGATGGAACATGGTCTGGAGTCAAGGGGGTTCCCAGGGGGTTCCACCCTTCTGCGCCTTCTCCCTCCTCCCTCCGCCGTCCCCCCTCCAACATCCCGCCTCCCGCCGTCCTCGCTTCTATCCTCCCCTCCCTCCTCCCCCGTCTGTTCTCCTCCCACCGCTCGTCCTCCCTGCTCGCTGCTGCCTCCTGCCTCCCGCGCTCCTACCTCGTCCTCATCCCTCCCCCTCCCTCGTCCCCCCCCCCCTCCTTATCACCAAGTTGCTCCCTCCCCTCTCTTCTCGCAGCCACGCAATAGCACGTCGTTGTGGTTGGGCGGTCACATGGCTTCGAGTATGGAGAGTCGCTGTTCCAGAGGAGGCTGCGAAGGTCGACGAGGAGAAGGAGACCGGAGACGCTGGCGCCGACGAAGCCAAGGTGTTTGCCTTGCGCATTTGCACGTGTCATTGAGAGAGTTCTGCGTTGGGCTGTGTTTGCTGATGTTGGCGGGAGTGTGATACTGAGACTTGTCATGGCTATGCGCACCCTGGCCGTATGTGCGATGGAAAATAAAGGTCTACTGCGCATAAGCTGCCCGCGTAAGGTCGCTCGTGCGCGCCCTCTTCTCCTCGCGCTGTTCCGCTCTGGCGGCTTGCATAAGGCAGCGTGCAAGTTCGCCCTGTCACTTTGTGTAAGACACTTTCCTCCCGCCAATCAAACGGTGATGCGGATATGCTTGGACTAGGACAGCAGCCGAGTGTTGAAGTCTCTCTGGGACGAGCGACCTTGAAACAGACGACTTGCCCCGAGGGGGATGACGCGGCAGAAGCAGCGGCACCAGAGGGTGGTGCGAAAGGTGGTGGGCTTAGGGGCATGGCTGCCTTGAGCAGGCCGCTGCGAGTTGATGCCCTGGGCCGTCGCGGTTGGATCGGAGCTCTTCCCCACCGGACACGCCGGGATTGTCAGGCGAGAAAGACAGGCGTCCCGCCGACGGCCGCCAGGCCCGAGCAGTCCCGATGGTTGGCGTCTCTCCCGCCTCGTCCTCTGGCCCTGCCTTCTGCGGCCGCCCGGCCCCCAGAAGGCCGACGGTCTCTGAGGCTGCCGCCTCGCCCACCAGCCTTGCACGGGCTTCGCGACGGCACGACATCCACCTCTGCCCACAACAGGCATCCCGAACGCGCATCCAGAACATATACCAAGAATATACGCCAACATCGGCGTCAAGACCAGTCAGACCGTCCCAACATGCATTAAGAATATATTGCAGTGGTTGACATCGATAACAGGCCCCAGGAACAATCATAATCCAATGCGCGGAACCAGAAATTCGCATCAATGCCAGACAACCATCGTACATTCCAAGACCAGACACCAAGCACAGACACCAGTAGCAGGCACACTACTATACCTCTACAGCAGCCATCGCTATCATACATAAGAAGCGGCCACCAATCACATACATCTGTTGGTACTGGTGACGTACACCAACCTCACACGCCGATAGCAGGCCTCTGAGCAGACCTCTCACTTCATTTCATGCGTCGGTGCCCCCATCCGAGAGATGGGGGCACCGACGGCATCTTAATCCAGGTGTCAAGGAGATGCCCTCGTCTCCCCTCCCTCTCGCTTTCCGCGTGTCGCCAGTACGTTTACAGGGACTGTCCTTACCGCTCTCCTCGACAAGGAGGTGCCCTCGTCTCTCCTTCCTCTCGCTTTCCGCGTGCCGCCAAGTACGTTTATAATGGGTTGTCCTTATCGTTGCAACTGCCCGTCTGTCCGTCCCCGTGGATTCGCTCTCTTCCTGCCCGGGTCCAGGGCCAATATGCGCGCTTTCGGGAAAAGCTGTATGGAATCATGAGCTGCGTGCCGCTAGTCTTTTGCCTGTTCTCTCCGTCCTTCCGCCTCCTCCTCCTCCTCCCTCCCTCCCTCCGCCTCCTCCTCCCTCCCTCCCTCCCTCCCTCCCTCCTCCTCCTCCTCCTCCTCCTCCTCCTCCTCCTCAGCCGCCGCCGCCTCCTCCTCCTCCTCCTCCTCCCTTCCTCCTCCCTTTCCTCCTCCTCTCCTCCTCCTCCTCCTCCTCCTCCTCCTCCTCCTCCTCCTCCTCCTCCTCCTCCTCCTCCTCCTCCTCCTCCTCCTCCTCCTCCTCCTCCTCTCCTTCTCTCTCTGAGCCGTTGGGCAGCGCAACCTCGTGGCCAGAGTATCGGCCACACTGCCGGGACAGCAGAAGACCCCTTGTGGTCGTGGGCCTGTGGGCGTGGCGTGTTGGAGGGTGGACGTTCCGCTGCTTTCGCCGAGAGCTTTCCGAGAACAAGGTCTGAGGACATCGCGAATGGGATCGCTCCCTCCCCCCCTGTGGTCGTGGCCCTGTGGGCGTGGCCTGGTGATGGGTGCCTGTGCTCCACGTCACTCCGTGCGTGTCGGTGGTTCGACGTCGTCGTCGTCGTCGTCGTCGGCGTCGTCTTTCGTCGGTGTCGGCGTCGGCGTCGTCATCGTCGTGGTCGGCGTCGGTGTCGTCGTCGTCGTCGTCTTCCGTTGGCGTCGGCATCGGCGTCGGCGTCGTCGTCGTCTTCTGTCGTCGTCGTCGTCGTCGCCCCCCCCATCCCATCGGGGGGGGCCTGTGGAACCCTGGGGTCCATCCCATCCTGGGGGGAGGTCTGTGAACTCTCGGCCCTAGATCATATATGTGTATGTATGCATACAGTGAGGGTCAGAATTTCTTGACACGGCTTGGTGTCATAATTATGTACAGTTTAACTGTGTTGTAATGTCCACATCCAGCAGCCACCAAGGACATACGGTGCTAACCAACCTTGGCAACATACATCCAGACCCGACTCTCATAACATTCGCCAAGGGATCAAAGGGCCACACACCGTACATCAAGAACCAGCACGAGCCAGGCAGGCGACATAACGAGCGCCCACGAACGGCATACGTACAGGGCGTACGACCATTCATTAACAATGCATATAGCTAATGTGAAACACACATTTCACATGCATCGCTACGCACGTACCAAACATAATGAACACTGGCAACGCTCATGCGGAGGCAGGTAACTCATGTATCACATGGTGGAACCAGATGCGGCAGCATCGAGATCATGTGCACCCGCTTCGTGTTAGGGATCGTCCGAAGCAGCACGGTGTTCCTTCTCATGATGATCGCGGTTTTGGTCGTGTCCATCTCGATTCTGTCCATCGCTGGTTCGTTCCGAGGATCAGCTCACAGGCTGCTCACTAGTGGTCTAGCATCGAGCCCATTCAGTTCTGGGTGACTTGTGCTCGGCGTCACCCCAACATACTTGTACTAGATGTGCGTCGCCCCCCAGGGGCGACGTGCGCACCGAGAAATCTTCTAGTATATGCGTCGCGGCGGGCGCTTTCTGGCCGCACCGCTCGGGAAACGGTCTACTACAGAATGGGTATACCACATGTTCGGGTCGGATGCGGGCCTCCAGGGAGGACGTATCGTTTCAGCATGTCTTTGTGCGCTTTGTGCGTTGCCCGAGCGGCCTACTGAGGCAAGAAAGGCAAAGACGACGACCATCCTGACCATCTGCTTTACGTTCAGCGCGCGCAGACTCGCTCGGAGCGGCAGGCCCTGCTGGCCGAGCGGAAGAGCAAGAAGGGAGCCGGCAAAGGCAAGCAGAAGGAGGACCGCCTTTTCTGTTTGGAAGTGTTTGTGTTCGTGTGGGGCGTCTAGCGACGATATATTTACCCATGGTCACTTCGTCCTGCCGCTCCTGCCTGGGATCAGGGCGGCTACGGAGAGGACGAGGATGAGGAGGAGAGAGGAGGAGGAAGAGGAGGAGGAGGAGGAGGAGGAAGAAGGAAGGCCGGTATGACATTGTCGTCACCTCGCTTGTTTTTGTCATTGGTTTCTTTGATGGGGTGTAAAACCGTGCTTCTCACCGACATCTTGCCTCAACCTCCACACCTGCCCGGTGCTGTTTCCCGTGGGTGATGTCTTGGGTTTCATGTTCAGCTGCACGAGTTTCCTCTCTGATCCTCATATGTCGTTCCTCATCTCGTGTCTTCTGTCCCGCTGCCCCTTATACCCTTGCCGCCTCCCTCCCCCTCCCCTCAGCTCCAACCTCCTCCGTCTTCTTTTCGCCGTGGCCACTGTGGCCCAAGATGACGGACTACCAGGTGAGGCCAGTGGAACGTGCCAGGCCGCAGCAGCTATCAGAAGTTATTACTCGCACCCCGGAGTCGTGTTCATGGCGCACTGAGCCCCCTGTGTGCTCCGTGGGCGAAACATGTCGTCGAAGATCCAACCTGGCATGCAGAGTCCAACGCTTATGCGGCGCGAGCGCACCTCAGGTGGCGGCGGCAACATGAGCAGCAGACAAAACACCAGAAACTGTGGGTGGTTTAGGCCTCAGTTTTTCCCTGGCGCCAAGGAGTCCCCAAGCAACGCACGTATGTTCAGCAGGTGGAGTCAGGGTTCAAGGCAGCTGAGGTAGAGTTTTAAACAAGGTCAATGGAGGTGGCAAAATTTGTTCACGTGAGAAGCATCAGCCAACACATGAGGATCCTCTACAGTCGAAGCGTGCCGCACTTACAGAGTGGATCGCTGTGTCAGAGAAGGTCGTCAAGGAGACTGCTGAGCTCGGCGGCCATCTGCACGAAGCAAACAATGTTGCCCTAGAAGAGCTTCGTCAGCAGGCGAAGGCGTCGCGTCCTCCCGCCGCAGCTCATAAGACGGCCACACAGAAGAAGTTCCAAATCGAAAAGCAGCAGTCCGAGCTGGAGGGTGTGTAGCGAAAGTTGGCCTAGATGCAGCAGATCATCGCGGGGAAGCAGAGCGCCACTCTCGCCATGTCGTCGGAGACCAAAGTGCTGCAAAGGAAAGATGCTGAGAGCGTGGCCGACTTTCCACCAGCAACCAGGAGGCAAATATGAGGCCATCCCAGGGAACGCGTTCACGCTCGACGCCGACTTTGAGGACATTGAGGCGTGCGTTTGCAATGTTTTGCCAGGCGGTGTTGGCTCATCCCATGTTCGTCGCGAACTTGAAGTTCATCCGCGAGAAGGTGCAGAGCAGCAAGGCGAAGGACGAGGAACTGCCACCAGGTCAACCCGATCAAGATGCCTGCACCAGCTTGGTAAGCGGCGGGAGTCAAGCGTCCGATTGAGTCGGGCGAGCTCAATATCGAGGACGCCCAGAAGTTGCGTCAACAGCTTCAGAGTAGCGGGGTCCCGAGCGGAGAGGAGGCGCAGAAGCTTCTCGAGCCCGTCGCCAACGCGCAGAACGCCAAGAGGTCTCGCACCCATGTGGCTACCGCTTCAGTTCCTATTCCTCTGCAACTTTAACCCCGCGTGGGCCGTCAGCAGCCACGCCGCGACTTCTACACCGGTGTGATGTTACATGATTCGCGAAGTTCAGCTTCCGTTTCTTCAACCACCCCTCGAGCGGAAAAGGGCCCACGCAGATGGCCGCTGCGCGCCGGCGACGGATTCCGCGTCGCGCCCATCCTTGTCATTGCCATCAGGTGCCGCGCCCACTAACCCAGCGGAGGCCGAGAACTCTGCGACGGCGCACCTCGCGCGGAGGACGGGCGCGAAGCTTGCCCCCCGCGCGGCGCCCCGCGCATGGGCGTCGGCTGGGGTGGCGGGGCGGCGCGTCACAAGTGGCAGGTCTTCCGCGGCTGCATCAGTTTTTAAAATCAGCAGTTTTGGTGTTCCTGTCTCCAGCGGCGCGAATGCGGATGGATCGCTGGGCCCTTTTCCCCGCGACGAGCTCGACGCAAAATCGAAAAGTCAGCGGTCAGGAACTGTTTGTTCCCGCCCCCCGAAAGCGGGCAGCCTGCGCGTTTGCGGCGGCAGGGGGAAGGCGGCGGCAAGACCGCGGACGGCAATGCGAGATCGCCACATTAAGACCTTCCACTCCAGCCGTCGTATACTAACTTCCAAGAGCAAGGCCCAAGTCGCCCAGGCGATCGCGCCGATCCAGGAGACAGGCCACCACGAAGCGAACGTGGAAGAGCTGTCCGCGCGCGTTTGTGCCCGGGCGCGGCTGGTCAGCCTCGGCAGCCCCGCGTTCGGCTTCTCAGGGGCGCTGGCCAGCCGCGGGAGTTGCAGCGCTGGCAGGGAATGGGATTGGTCTTTGGTTTCGACTCATCGGATACGCCCCCGCGCCGCGCTCAACGCGCGGCGGTTGATATCCCAGGCCGGCCCCCCAGCCTGCACTTCCAGCATCAGTCTTCGCGCGCGCGGGGGCAGGGCCGCGAGGGGCTCCTCCGTTGTGGTTCAATTCGGAGAGCGATCAGCCGGCGCAGGTCATCCTGTTGCACGGTCGGACTGAAACATGGGATCGAGCTCGGTGCGGGGAGGATGCCCGGATGTTCTTCGCGCTCGTTGGATGTCAGTGTAAATGCGCGCGGGGGGGGGGGGGGGGGGGGGGGGGGGGCCAGTTGTCCTGCAGCGCGGCCGGCGGATGGGTGCCATGTCCCTGTGGGGTGCGATTGTGTCTGCGGTCTGGCCGCAGATAGGTGCCTGGAGCACGAGCGCTGGTGCAGTTGAAGGGCCTGCGCCCCGCTTGCATGTGCATCTCCAACTCGTCGATGCGCAGAGCTCCACTTACCGCGCTCGCAAAGCTTGCTCAACCATCGATTGGTCTAGGCTCCGCGACGCGGGGATGAAGCTGTTCGAATCAACCGCGGCCGACCGGCAGTTGCGCGCCAGGCCTCGCAGGCCTGCGGCGCTTGAGATGTCGGCGCAAGGTGAGAGTCGCTATTTACTGGCTAGCGTTGTTGTCCCCGAGCATTGCCCGACGTTCGGCATGGGCCTCGCTGGCCAGGAGAGAATTGGATTGTGCAGGCTCGGTAAAGAAGCACCACCTGGTGCCGCGCTGGGACTTCTCACCCTTGGAGGGGGTCAATGCGCCGCTGCTGCTGCTGCTGCTGCTGCTGCTGCTGCGAGATTCGCGCTCATCAAGGGCGGGGGGTCAAGGGCCCCGGCGCGTTTGACAAGCTTCTCTCAAACCAAGATGGGTTGACATCAACGAGCTCGTGGATGCGACTGGTGTTCAAGCTCGAGCATATGGTTTGACGCAGATCCAATGCGCGATGCTGACGTTGCAACGCGTGCACGAGAGTCAGGAGTCGAATGGCACTGAGAGGCGCCAGTGCGATATCCTCAGTTTCCAGACGTCCGCGCGCCCAGTGCACGGCCGCAATCGCAGGCGAGATGCGAGCGCGGGTCAAGCAAGGCGAGTCGCTGGCTCTCATCTTCGCCCCGAGGCCGCGCGACGGCAGCGCCGGGTGGAAGCAATGGCGCGCCCAAAACAGAGCTGGAGGTGCCATCGCCCCCAACAGGATCACGCAATGTCAGCAAGTGTAAGCTCCCACCACCGTTGGCGCGGCGCAATGAAAGCATTCGGCCCGCCCCAATGACATCGCGGCAAGAATGGGCGGCGCGCGCAAATGTGTGGACGGGGCCTGGTTCAGCGCCTGAGGCGTGGGTTCCAGATCGCAGATCCTTTCCTGGACCCGAGCCAGAGAGGTTCAGAATAACGGCCAGATCATTTCCATGCGTCATCTCAGCGGGTCTGGATGGATTGCGTCCTCGGCGCTTAGTCTATTTGCGCGTCGAGGCCACGTGCGCTTTGGGCGCGCTGTGCGAAGCTACTAAGTCATTGGGCATGCTGCCGAAGCAGCTATCGCGGGGCTCATCAGACTGTGTGCATCCGCTTACAGGGTATGGCAGGGGCGTCGACGGCGCGAGTTTGATTCGCTCCTGCAGCAGTTTCCTGATGGGAAGTGCTGCGGCGCAGGCAAGGGTCGGCGCCCGATTGGTGGGGCGTGGAAGATGGCAGCGAGAACCGAGGCATGCTCGGCATCCAACCGGTACTCAGCCACTCCCATAGCCGACGGTCCGCCCCAGGCATTGCGATAATACCGAGCTAGAGTAACTGGTGCACGAGTTTTTCGCTTTCATTGCTCACACGGCCTCGGCCAAGCTGTCTCACGGCATTCGGAGGTCTCGATGGGCAATCGGGCCGCTCCAACATCGCGATCGTCTCCCTTGGCGCGCGGAGAGCGGCGTCTCAGCGGGATCTGGAGTTGCAGAAAATGCTGCCAAAGTGTGCGCAGTCGAGCACTGCGGCAGGCACGCTGCATTTCATCCGCTACTTGACGTCGCCAGCTACATCTACGACTCGCTCGCGGGCAGCGTGAGTGGTGATTCGAGGATGACAATAGATGGCAGTTGCAGCGGGCACCAGCTTCCTCGCCGCAGCAGAAGACATGCGCGCACCAGTAACTATCAGAATCGCGAGCCTTGCCAGCTCCAGTGAGATGGCGACGCGGGGTGGCCAAGAGGTTGGCATGTCAAGGGAGCGGTGCCCAATCCTTAACGGCGTACCTTGGAACAGACGAGACCGGCGGCGGCGCGGTGGGGGCCCGAGTTACGATTGCAGACGAAGCAAAGAAATGCTACGCATGTATGATGGACCAGGAAGCTCAAGCGCTACAAGGGAGCAGTGGCTGAGGCGAGGGATCAAAGGATTGGTGTCCTCCGAACGGGCGCGGGGCCAGCGCTCACTTACGACGTGGAGATGCTGGGCCTGTCCAATCCTGACCCAGTGTAGCTCAGACGCGATTATTCACGACAAGTCAAGTCTTCCCGCGGCGGAGTTTTTCGTATTTGGTG